GGGGGAGAAAAAACATGTATTTTGGCAGAGGAGTCAGAAGGATGACGTCAAAAGATCTGGAGGCCGCCCTACCAGACCTGCCCCTCGCTGCTCCCTGGGGCCAGCACAGCACCCAGCACAGAAACTCCTCCACAGCACCAACCCCAAATTAAAATTATTATTTTTTTTCCCCTTTTCCTCCTCTTTTTATTTTTTTTTTCTTTTTCAGGCCAAGCTGCCCAGACCAGAACATGCACCCAACCGCTTCCCTGCCTTGCAACCAGCTCTCCAGAAATAACATCCCCACCAGGAGCAGAGGAAAGGGTTAATCTCCTGAGAGCTTCATCACCCAGTTTACTTTGGGAGATGAGACATACCAAAGAAACTGCCTTTTAACAAGAGGCTCCTGTGCCCCACCCAGGCATGCAGGGGACAGGCCTTGGGGGAAAGTCATCACGCAATTCTCTTCAAATTCAGTCCATATAGCAGAGCAATTAGTCAGGCTGAATTAATTTATGGCGCTTGATTAGACTACTGCCCTGTACAGGCAAGTCAACAAACTGGAGAGTTCAGCTCAGCTGCCAGTTTGTTGGAGTTGTTGGGGCTCAAGTGCCTCAGGTGACCACGGTCACCGCTGTCTGCTGACATGAAACCCCCTGTGACACCCCCCGGGGGAAGCAGAGCACCCCAGACCCTGGCTGGACCCTCACCACAAGCCCCCACGGGTTCAGGCAGCGGCACACGCAAGGCAGAGCCCCCCAGGGACACGTTAACTACCTCTTGAATGTAACGAACTTCACTTTTCAGCTGGTTGACGTGCTCCTCGTGGTTCATGTTGCCCTCAGCTCGTGCCTTCAGGTAAACCTGCCCAGGAGAGATGGTGGTGGTGGGTCAGACACCAGCCAGCCCATGCCAGCAGCAAGCCCAGCTCCGCAGGGATCGGGACACAGGGTCTCATCGCTTCCCAAGCCACATTGTCTGCAGGTTTTCCCTCTGCATTAACCTTCCCTGGTATTTTTTGGAGCTGTTCCTCCTCCTCTGTGACCCCCCCCCACCCCACAGACCCACCGTAGCCACCCCAGGTCATGCTGCATCCCCCTGACATGGGGGAAGCCCACCAAGCTGGTGCTGCTGCCCAATAGGAAGCTACACCAGGAAGCTTTTTGCTGATGTAACTTCAGACAAAACCCCTTTTCCCAGCCCCCAATTATTAACCAGATTGCTTTGTGACAAAGCCACCGAGCCAGGACCGTACCTTGATGATCTCCTCATCGCCGTCGTTGGATTTGATGCACTCGGAGGCCAGGGAGTGACCGTTGCTGGATCTGTTGGCCACCATGGCGAAGGCTTTTCCCACCGGCTGTAAGAGACAGAAGCAGCAGAGCTTTCAGAGAGGCGAGACAGGCTGG